AATTAATCTTTTATTCTATATCATATATACTTATAACTAAATTTATACTCTAGATACTTATACGATAATCTTATACGATAATGTTTTCGAATATATAAAATTTGTTTACATGTCAATTCGAGCTAAAGAATCCAAGATAATATATCTTTCATTTATACGTTCATAAAAATCTTTTTTTATCCTGCGCGTCGTCAAATTCTTCATGGCGGAAGTTGTAGAGAAAATGAAAAAAAAAAAAAAAAAAAAAAAAAAAAAAAAAATAGAAAAATAAAAAAATAAAAAATAAAGAACGAATCTCTGGGTGAACAGTGAATTTCGTTGGATCGAAGAAGAGACGAGAGAAATAATGTGAAAGAAAAGGAAAGCGCTCCATTCTTTTGGCAATAAGAAGAAAAAAAAGAAAAGAAAAGAAAAGAAAAGAAAAGAAAAAAGAAAAAAGACAAAACAAAAAAAGAAAAGGACAAACGGAAGGAAGGAAGGAAGGAAGGAAGGAAATCGAATAGACAGGATACCACGATGACACGGTCTACGTTAATCCAACGATAGAAATCTCTTGGGTCACCGTCAATGACGCCGCCACCGGTCATCCAACGAATAAGAGCGACCGAGCGAAAGACAGAAAGAGATAGAGAAAAAGGAAGAACAGTCGAAGGAAAGAAGAAGAAGAAGAAGAAGAATAAGAAGAAAAAAAAGGATATGGGGAAGGGGAGAACGTATAATTTATAACGATAATCCTTTAAGAATGGATCCGTGCTTCGAAAGGCAGATTCACGCTTCTCCGAGCATCAATAAGAGAACGGTATATATGCTAGTTTCTTTCTTTCCCCCATTTCTCCCCGTTCTTCTTCTTCTTTCCACCCTTCCCCTTCCCCTTTGACCTTTCGAAATCTACTTTTACTTTTACTTCCTCTACTTCTTTCTCTCCCTCTCATCTCTTAAAAATTTCAACCGAATCTCCTATCGTATCGATCGTGCAGAAACGAGAACTCGGGGGGAGAAAAAGATTTTTCTACGTAGTTCACGACGTGTTTACATAGCTGCAGCACAACTGTTTATTTAGGAACATAATGGTGCCTTCTAAACGAGAGAGAGAGAGAGAGAGAGAGAGAGAGAGAGAGAGAGAGAGAGAGAGAGAAATAAAGAGAGAGAGAGAGAGAAAGAAATAGAATACGTATGGCAAAGATTTTTACTCCCTCTCCTTTTCCCCTTCCTTCTTTATCCCCTTGTCTTCTTCTTTTTTTCTTCTCCTTCTTCTCCTCTCTTCTTCGTCCTCTTCTTCTTCGACTACTACTACTACTACTTCTACTACTACTATTCTCTATTTTATCCTGGTTTTACGAAAAATCTGTGATCACATGTTCCTCATTCCTAACGTACATACGTCGAAAGAGATTCTAGATCGAAGTTTACGTCCGCACTCGAGAACGGTATAACAAGTACTATTTGATATTGAGATACACACAAGCCTTGTCCTCGAGATTCTCTTTATCGTATATATATATATATATGTATATGTTTTGTTAACCTTTGAGAAACGTCCTTCGTACCTCTCTCTCTCTCTGTCTCACTCTCTCTTTCAAACTCTGTATATATGTATATCCACACCGCATGTTTATATTCTTTTTCGACGATAATGTTATCGTCGAACGAAACAATTCCACGAAATTCTCTCTGAATCATCCATTGATTCCTCTATTTTTCGTTAATTAATACGACATATCGACAGGGCGAGGAATAAACGGATATTTGAACTTTTCAAAGCGATTAAATAGACATGATAACTTTTTTTATATAATATTATCGACGAATATAAAAATATATTTTATTTATAAACGATCCATTAATGATATTATTACGACATGCGACTACGATTTCACACGGTACTTATTTTTTTTTTTTTTGTTTCTTTTCCTTCTTTTTTATTTTTTTTTTTTTTTATTTTTACATCTATTTCTCAATCAAATTTTTGCATAAATAAAATTAATTTATCATTTGATGATAATTCTATTACGCTTCCTAACGACGAACTATTATTTGTTGATAAGTATGCACAATTAGAGGATTATTATTTATTAAATCTAAATTTATTATAATAATTGTATCTGTAAAATAAAAATTAGCTTGAAGAGGGTTAGAAGTAAAAAAAAAGAAAAAAAAAAAAATAAATAAATAAATAAAACAATAAAAAGAAACGAATTTATCTCTTTAAAGATGATCTAACATTCGGAGAATGTTAAAAAGCATCGTGGGTGTACCAAAAAGCAAATCTACCTATATACACCAAAAAGGATTCACCCTCGTTTTCTTTTTCTTCCTCTTCTTCCTCCCCCGTTCTACGAGGCATTGAAAATGATGAAATTCGCTATTGAAACGAAATACGTGACGCCGCATGAGTCGAGCGAGTTAGTCGAAAAAAATCGAGAGATCGTCAGATCGAGAGAAAGAGAGACAGAGAGAGAGAGAAAAAGAGATGCTAAATGAAAAAAAGGATAGAAAGAGAATGATCTCTTTTTAAATCTTTTTTTCACGAAAGAGATCCCAATGAGTGCATCCACCCACGTTAAATTTACCTTTGAAATATATTGTACCAGGCAAAGTTACCGAAAGGTTCCGAGATCTTTGCATCCGGCCAAGAATACGATGGGATTCGTTTCGTTTTCTTACGGAGTGAAAGAGAGGTAAAAAAAACGGGAGAAACTTTAGGACGAGTCGACAAATGCGATCCCAAAAAGTTTGCGGATTCAACGTGCTCGCAAGAAGACACCCCCACGTTTTCACGTTCTTGCTTTTACACATAAGTACATATATACATATTATACCTATATATATATATGCGTGCGTATATATATATATATATATATGAAGGTAGTTATACGAAGAGACGAATTGAATGGCCTCGTTTTGCAGGTTCGAACCTGTACGAACGAGCACGAACAGGTCGCGAGGAAAAGCATCGAAAAAAAAAAAGAAAAAGAAAGAAAAAAAAAAAAGGAAGACACTTTTGCTTCGTGCGTGCCCGTATGTTTGCGTAATCCTCCTATCAAAGGCACAACGAGGAATTCTCCTCTTTCTCCTCCACCCTATTTTTCACGTAAAAAGGAAATTCGAGAAACGTGTTCGAACTTGCACGCGATCTGGATCGCTTCTCCTACCATTTTCTTTTTTTTTTTCTTTTTCTTTTCTTCTCTTCCCTTTTCTTTTTCTTTTTTTGTGTTTTTCTTTTTTTTTTTTTTTTTTTTTTTTACTTCAGAACCCCCGTGAAATCGACTTGCGAGAATTGACTTTCCAACTTCGTTCTATCTTCTTAAGAATATACAAAAAAAAAAAAAAAAGTACAGGACAAAAAAGAAATAAGTAAAATTACTAAATATTATTTCTCCCGAAAGATTTAAAAAAGAAAAACAACCAAAATATATATATATAAATTTATTAAGGTACGTTTAAAAGACGCGATCGAGAATAAAGAGAAAAGAGTAAAAGAAGAAGAAGAAGAAGAAGAAGAAGAAAAAAAAGGAAAGGAATTTTTAAAACAGTTTCGTCCGAAACTTGATCATCCCGATTCAAAGGCAAATGTTCGTTCTCCTGACCCAGAATCCCAACCCTTTTATCCGTATCCGTGTCCTATCCATGCGAAAGGGTTAACGGAAGCATGATCACAATAGGACAAGGAAAAGGATTTCCCTTTATCGTTGAAGGGATTCACCTGTGAAAGGGTTGTGAGCCAATGAACAATACTAGAAATCCTAGAGTCGATCGATTCGGAAACGTTATCCGACAACACGACAAGTGTTAGAGTAACCGAGCCCGTTACTTAAAGTATTACACGTTGCGAGACTCATACGATATAAAAAATCAAAATCGATGGAGAGTGGAAAAAAAGGAAGAGAGAGAGAGAGAGAGAGAGAGAACGAAGCAGCTGGTTTTCCAGAAGAAGAAAAAAAAATATATATATATATATGTATGTGGAAGAGCAGCTGCGAAAAATATTATTTTCTGGAAGAACTTAATACTCGTCGAGATCATTCGGCAGGTCCCTTTCGAAAGGAGAGAAGGAACACAACCCTTGATGTTTCTTTGATCCTTCTCGATTCGCTCTACTCCGATCGAAAATTTGTCTTATTCCCTAACCAGCCGCTACTACCCTTCCTTCCTACTCTCTCTCCCTCCCTCGCACTCCTGCCGACCGTTCCCTCCCGCTCACTTCTCTTCACTCAATCCAACCCACCTTTTATATATATATATATATATATTTTTTTTTCTCTCGGCGATTACGTTCAACGGGCTCATACATACATCGTAAAGAACGAACGGACACACGTGCACAGCTTGACACATCCATCAGAAGAAATTCACCCACTACCTTTTGTATGGAACAAGCTCCGTTTGACCCTTTTCTACCTGAATATCCCGTCAAAAATAGGGTGTTCTTACCCCGTACGGTGCTACCCCATTGAACCGTATAAGATATGCATCTACGTTCCTGAATGCCCGAAGAAAATAAGGAAATTCCATCGGAGATTTTCGTGATTTTGAATAATATTGCATCCCCCTTTCTTTTTTCTTTTTTTGGTTTCTTTTCTCTCTCTCTCTCTCTCCCTCCTTCGTCACAATCATCTCGTCGTTCCTCTCTCTTTTTCTCTCTCTTTCTCTCTCTCTCTTTCTTTCGTTTTGCCGTTTCGTACGCATCGCTCGGCTCGGACGTTTGAAAGGATAGAAAGGGTCCATAAGGGATGAGGATCTATAGGCGGCCCTTTTTATTGTACCATCGAAAAATTTCTACGGGACCGACTCGAATGGACAAAGGATTCCACGTACTTTCTGACGATGGACAAGCGACGGTAAAAGCGTGTATAAAGGATTTATCAGCGATGGACACCACCACGAAGGGTGTAGGACTAAACGGGAAAGAGAAAAAGAGAGAGGAAGAGAGAGAGAGAGAGAGAGAGAGAGAGGACAAAAAACAGATCGAAAACTTCAACGAATTCTCTTCTAAAACTCACCTAAACACTTTTCACCCGATCGTGTTCGTTGCTATCATCAAATTTTCGATGACTCCTTATCTGAAAAATATAAAATAAAATCATAAATATTATATTCGACGATCATTATTGAATCATTATTATCTATGCTATTATTATAGTCATCAAATATTAATCCCAATTTGTTTTTCTTTTTTCTTTTTTTTTTTTCACTTCTAATCGTTCTTTTCACGCAATTCATGGTGGAATTTAAAAGAAAAAGAGAAAAAAAACAAACAAAAAATAAAAAGAAAAAGCAGAAGAGAAGGAATGATCGAGAGATCGTTTCTCTTTTAAAACTTCAGTTCGTTCTTCGTTCACCCTTTCGAGGAGGAGAAATAATTCTGCCCGATTACGCATGGTACCGCCCTAATAACCGAAATTCGGTATCGACGAGAGACAGAGAGAAAGAGAGAGAAAGAGAGAGGGGTAGAACGACTGGATACTCTTATAAAAAAAAAAAATGGAAGAAAAAAAAACAGAAAAATCTCTAATACCAAAAACAAGAGAAAGAGAGAGAGAGAGAGAGAGAGATGGTAATAGTCCTACTATAAATTCATCCCGTTGTGGGATATATCGCGACGAGAGACGTAGCTTATCCCCCTTCTCCGTTCCACTTCGAATGGATATTAAAAAAGAAAAAAAAGAAGAGAAAGAGAGAGAAAGAGAGAGAAAAGAAGAGATAAAATTCCAATTATGAAGATCTCTATCTGCTCGTCTACCTGCCGAAAACGATTACCAGCACCGTCCAAGCGAGAAATAATAAAAAAAGAAAACTAATACGGTAGTCCATAGTCTATGTATCTTCTTGCTTTTTTTTTTCACCCTTGTCCTTCGTCTTCTTTTTCTTTATTTTTTAGTTTGCTCGTTGTTTGTTTCTTTTTTCCTTATATATATATATATATATATATATATATATATATAAATATTACTTTCACCAATCACTCGGATGCTGGAGCATTGAATTCTCGAGGGAACATACGAATGTATGATACTTGAAAGCGCGATATCTCGATTATGCTACACACGCATACACATATATCTACATGTATAAAAGGAAAAAAAAGAAAAAAAAAAAAAAAAAAAATAAGAAAAAAGAAAAATGATCGGACGATATGGACACTTTTTTGAAAGTGGTACCTCATAGAAAATTCGATCGAGAAGAAGGCTGATGCGATTAACACGATAGAAGGAGGACTCTGCGGTGTTCACCCTAGGGCATTGATAAAACGAGTACCGATATCGCACGTGATATCGCACGTATACTTAAAAGTAACCGAAGAACACGGGAACGTGATTCACGGTTTAAAGAAGGGATCGCAAGGGAAAAAGAAAAGAAAAGAAAAGAAAAGAAAACAAAATAAAAAAAATAAAAAAGAAAAATAAAAAAATAAAAAAAAGAAAAATAACAAAGAGAAGAGAAGAGAAGAAAAGAGTTGAGGAGTGAAGAGGAGAGGAGAGAAGAGGAGAGAAGAGAAGGGATAAGCGTTGTACGTATCTCGATCAAGTCGATCTTGAAATCGCGGCGATTACGTGTCTCGCGAGAGTGGAACGACGACGAGAAGAAGAAGAAGAAGAAGAAGAAGAAGAAGAAGAGGCGGAGGAGAGGAAAAGAAAAAAGAAAGGGATACGGATGAGGAGGAGGAGGAGGAGAAGTAAGGAATGAGGGACGAGGCGGAAGAGAAAAAGGAACGATGCGTGTATATATGTACGTAAGAAAGAGAGATAAAGAGAGAAGGACGAAAGATCGCTTGCACCTGCCGCTGACGTCAGAAGGGACTTCTTGTTTGTACCTGCGCACAGCCCCGGGGGTCACTACTACTGTTTTAGGCGAGTCTTCTTTTCTTTCCTGCCCCTTTAACCGCGAGCTACGAAAAACGCGCTCCTGTCTTCTCTCTCTCTCTCTCTCTCTCTCTCTCTCTCACTCTCTCTTGCCTCTCTTGCTTTCTATCCTTGCTTCGTGTATTATTTATATGCTAATGAAAAGTCGAGGACGCCAGAAAGAAGAAAGAAAAGATTATGTATTATTCTCTATCTACCTCTCTCTCTCTCTCTCTCTCTCTCTCTCTATTTATCTCTCTCTCCCATTCTCTCGTATATCTCGCCATTACGATTATGATATACGTGCAGAATGGAATACAAGCATTTTATACGTATACCATAGTTGAGATTAATGCCGGATTTAATGAGCTGCTAAAGTAAATTTTAATCGAATACGCTGCGGGCGTTCGCTCTCATGGATTTGAGATTTTTATCGGCCGTTAATGAACCCTTCTGCCCCGGGTAGAGATCCCTTTTCACTAGACATGACACATTACTCTCTCTCTCTCTCTCTCTCTCTCTCTCTCTCTCTCTCTCTCTCTCTCTCTCTCTCTCTCTCTCTCTCTCTCTCTCTCTCTCTAGAATGTATCTTTATGTTTTTTCTTGCTCCTACATTATTACCAATGTATACTTTATCTCATCTATGCCTCATTGTTTTATATCGTTCTCTCTCTCGGATTCTTTCAAATCGATTATAAAAATTAATATAACACAATGATTATCTTCGAGGAACACTTTCGACGTTTATCATTTTCTTCTTTCGTAATCACGAACATTATCCCCTTCTTTCTTTCCTTATACGGATATAAAGGGAATAAAAATGAATTAAGGATATGCACGAATGAATCTAATCGGATCGAATTGATTTTGAGATTATTTTTTTTAAAAGAATAAAGGAGAGTAAGGAGAAAGGCGGGAGGGAGGGAGAAAGGGTGGAACTCGATGACTCCGCCTCACAGGACGATGTACGATGCAAAATAATTTCGATAAAATCGATATAGCAAAACGGCAAAGATAAGATTGGCAAGAGCAACTTGGCTCTAAAAGAGAAAGAGATAGTGGCGTTTTAATCGAGATCAAGTCAAGTCGAGAACGTCGTTTCTAATCTACCGAGGCCGACACGAGGGAACGTTCGAAATCGTTGCCGCGTGAAACAACCGTCTTCTTATCTTGATGTGTTACGCCAGAACGACGTTTTACCATCTAACTCATTTGCATAATCTAATATCCTCGGTTAAACGCCGTCGAACGATACGTCCGAACATCAGGATACTTTTCTTCTTTCTTCTTTCATCTTTCATCTTTCATCTTTCTTCTTCTTCTTCTTCTTCTTCGTCTTCCTTCTTCTCTTTGTTCTTTCTCATCTTTTTTCTCTATCCTCTTCTTTTTTTTTTATCTCACTTCTTCGAAGCTTCTTTCCTATTCATCTTTCTATCTCCTTTCAAACGCCATTGGCTCTTACTTTTTTTCTTCCTTCTTTCATTTTATTTTTCTTTTTTTTCTTTTCTTTTTTTTTTTTTCTTCTTTTTTATCCTTCTCGTTTATTCTTTTTTATTTATTTGTTCCTTTCTTTTTTTCTTCTTATGTTTTTTTTCTATTTCTTTTTTTTTTTTTTTTTTATTTTGTCCTCTCTTTATAAGTAGCACACCTATCATATTCGTACGTGTCTCTCGCAAATTCCGTGAGTTCATTGTACTCGCGAGCTTCTCTACTAAATCTTTTGAGAACGACGATACGAATAAAATGTATTTACAAAAAGAAATCTATGTATAAGGGGAAAACAACAACAACAACAACAACAACAACAACAATAGTTGTTTTGTGTACATATCAAGGCTGTTATGAAAAATCAATCGTTCGAAATAGAAATCCCATAAATTAAGAGAGACTTTGATGAATTTTATTTTCTCCTTTCCTTTTTTCTATTTTCATTTTTATTTTTATACTAGTTAATATTTTATTTTTTCGACGTTCAAATTTTACGATTGAATCAAAAAAAAAAAAAAAAAAAATAAAAATAAATAAAAAAGCTTTACGAAAATTGGATTAACAAAAAAAAAAAAAAAAAAAAAAAAAAATTCACAATGCCTCTTATATATCACGAACCGCACGATCGATGATATTTTTCTTCTTTTACTTTTAATTCAAATCGAAACAAAAAAAAAACAAAAAAAAAATTAAAAAAATAAAAAAAATAAAAAAGAAAAAGAAAAAGAAAGATAAATAGCAAAAGCAATTCTCAGTGAAATCGTTGTCCTGGTAAAAAAGGGATAACGATTTTTGGCTTGTAAATATGCGAGATAAGTTTTAGGGAGGTAAGTTTCGCTTCGATATATCGTCATGACCGATCGTCGACCGGTTCCTAAAACACGATCGAACCGATCTCTCGAATTAATTAGAATTCGACGGACGCGTTGAGAGAACCGGTTATAAAATCCTTTCGGGGCAAGAGAAGAGGAAGGATAAAAGTCGTCGTCGTTCCCCTCCCTTCCTCTCCCTCCCCCTCCCCCCCATTTGATAGGACCAAAAGAATTTGATTTCTTAACTACGAAAGTGGTAGGACGCGGATCGTCTAATTGAGACGGAATCAACTCGAAGATATAATTAAAAGGTCTGAATATTATAAAAAGATTATCTTTTCGATTTGCTTAATTTTCTTCTTTTTAAAAATAAAAAAGGATAATGACGGATAAAAACTTAGCTTATTTATAACAAATAATTTTATCCATCGGAAGGATATTTTAATAACGATTGACTTTGTAGAGAGAAAAAAAAAAAAAAAAAAAAGAAACAGAAAAAAGAACATAAAAAAAAACAACAATAACAACAGAAAAAAAAGAAACATCGCCATGTAACAGGTCGTTGATTCGAGTATACATGTGTATATATATATATATACATAGTGAAAGAATCGTTCCATTCTTTTCTCTTTTTGTTTTTGTTTTTGTTTTCGGAAATAAAAGAAAAAAATAAATAAATAAATAAATTTTACGTGTCGAAACGATATTAATATCGTCGGCTTTACAAAATGATAAACAAAACAGTATATATATAAATATATATATATATATATATATACACATATATCAATATATCAAACAGGTCATTACACCTCGTCAGTCTCGTTGCTCCAGCCGGTTCCTCGAAAAGAGCAAGAAGCGAGAAGAGAGAGAGAGAGAGAGAGAGAGAGAGAGAGAGAGAGAGAGAGAGAGAAACGACTGGTTTCTTGAGATTTTCATTTAGTACTATCTCTCTCTCTCTCTCTCTCTCTCTCTCTCTCTCTCTCTCTCTCTCTCTCTCTCCCTCTCCTTTTATTTCTATCTTTCTCCAATCCCCACGACGATATGAGGAAAAACGTTTAGATTACGACCTTGCTTATTTACGGGAAGCATCGGTATGTTCATTGCCGTACGCACTCTTGCACACGGCGAATAGCACGTAGGCGAAAAACCTGTTCGACTAATCGATCGAATCCTTCTTGTCCTTAAACAACCCAACGCCACCTACGTTTTTCCTATTTTTCTCCAAACGAGATCTCTATTGCCGATATAATTTTAAAACCGGTGATATGCTAGCAAAAAAAAAAGAAATGGATTACGATATAATCGAAAATATTTTCTAAACGTCCTCCTGAATATAATACTTTATATGCATTTTATATAAGAAAAGATTCAGATCGTCGAATTAATCAACGAGAGATATCTAACATTTAAATTCGTAGCATAGAAAAAAAAGTTGTAATAAATTAATTAATTCATCATTTTTTTTTTTTTTTTTTTTTTTTTTTTTTTTTTTTTTTTTTTTTTTTTTTTTTTTTTTTTTTTTAGATGAAGGAAGATTCAGATCGTCGAAGTGATCGATTAAAAATTAATATGTCTATTTCATTCCTAACATATATATATATATATATCTGTAGGGAAAAAAAAATTGCAATAAATCGATTATTTCAAAATATAGAATATTATTTAAGGAAGATGGTTATAAGAAGAATAAATTTACAAAAATTTTCATCGTAGTAAGAGACATGAGTTCTTTTTATCTCGTTGTCGTTTACAACGATCTTTACAACTCTATTAATCGTCAAAAATACTTACAAAGTATCTGTGCAAATACGACCCTTACACGAGATAATATGAAAAATAAAATGAGAAAAACTTTCTAATAATATTCAGAAATAATTCCAATTAGATTTATTAGAACACTTAGTCGTGTTGTTCTAAACGATAGAAAGATTAACTTGCTTGTGCAGGTTGCAAGGTCGGGTTTCACCTGCTTATGTACCGTAATTTGGAGGTGCAAGTGAAAACAAATACTTCGGACTATACCTGCAAGCGGGAACTTTTTCAAGGGGAAGAAGAAAAGAGGGGATAAACTTCGTGGTCCGTGAAGTTTACATCCCCTACTGTGAGCCCTCTCTACTCCTCTCTTTCTCTTTCGCTCCCTACTCTTATATCCCAAAATCTCTATCGAGTTCTCTCTCAGTGGAAAATAAACTCGCTTTAAAACGTTATCCAAACACGAGAAACGAGGAAGAATTGACAATTGGAAAGTTTAAATATTTAAGTCTAACGTAATTATAAGGTACCACCATCGTGTTTAAATAAATGTAAATGAATGATGGCTTTTTACTCGTATAATTGAGGCACCTGTATACGTTGAGAACAGGTTGTTAAAAAAAAAAAAAAAGGAAGTGCGGGAAAAAAAAAAAAAGAAATAGGATAGGTCATGGAAGAAGAGGATTCAACAAAGATTTTTCATTGTACCGATCGAAATAAATCCCCCGATTGTGAGTAGAAAAAGTTGTTGAGTTGATGAACAAAAAAAAAAAGAAAAAAAAAAGAAAAAAAAAGAAGAAGGACAAAAAAGAAGGGAGGGCAAGTTTTTTCGTCGTTTCGCGGCTAATAGACGCTAGTCACGAGGCCATAGGGTATGTATGATAGAACCGCGTGAGTCCACGTGGAGATACCTCTCTCTCTCTCTTTCTCTCTCCATCTGTAAAAGAGAAAGAGAGAGAGAGAGAGAGAAAACAAGCAGAAGGTATACTTAACGACCGTAAGGGTCGCCTTAGTTATCTCGATGCATCTAAACCTCGTCGACTCTCCCTCGACTCTTCTTGAAGAGAACTCGCCGTGGGGGTAATGGTGGAAGCCTGAGCGTGCGCTCGCGCGACCACATTATTACCCCCCGTTAATCACCGTAGGATGCACTCGTGAGAAGTTAATTGCATCTCCATCGGTCGATCGAGGGAGGGGGGAAGAAGAAAAAAGACAGAAAAAAGGATGAGAAAAAAAAAACCAAAACTACAGATTCTCAGCAGGTGCGATATGCCTTTCCTTCTATCTCTTGCAACACACTAATGCATCTTACACGTAATGATAATAATAATAATAATAATAATTATTATTATTATTATTATTATTATTATTATTATTATTATCATTATTATAATAATAATAACAATAATAATAAAATAATTTTTGACATCGTACCGGTTTCATTAATCGATTTCAATAGACCTCTGGCAATTAACTCCCAGTCCATGGAAGAAATTAATAAAGATAAATTGGACGATTAAGAGTTCACGCGAAGGTGAGGAGTAATAAGTGAGTAAAGTAATAACTCTCGGAATAAAATCATACCGAGTATATATACATACATATATATATATATATATATATATATATATATATATATATATACATATATATAGAAACACATATACATAAGACTTGTCAAATTTCGTTATGATAATCGAGCGTTATACGTGCCGTGTAATCGGATAATCAGACCGAGACGGCCGACCCAGTTAAATCGCGAGCTTGTACTCGGCCGGATTTGCGTGGAATTTCCTGTCGCGTGTGTGATCGAGAAAGTAGAGAGATAAAAAAAAAAAAAAAAAAAAAAAAAAAAACAAAGAAAAAAAAAACAAGAAAAAGAAAATTGAAAGAAGGAAGAAGGAAAAAGAAACGCAAAGAGATATAAACTAAGGGGAAGATTAAATAAATAAATAAATAAATGAATGAATAAATAAATAAATAGATAAAAATGAAGATAAATATAGTGCAAAGTAGATAAAATCGGAGAAATTGGATACGTATGTATCTACAGGAACGTGTCAATGCTTACGTGTCAAGACAGGCACGAACTCGTCGCAACAGGTTCGATCCTGTTCGCTAGTTGTAGGAGAAAGAAAAGATCCACCCTTGATGCCTTTGATGCTTTCCTCTAAGACGTAGCTAGAGAGAAGGTTAGAAAATAGAGAGGGCTGCTTTCGACAAGGTTGAAATCCGAGACGAGTCTTTTCCAACGCGGAAAGGAAAGATCGAAGGGTGACTAAGGTGAAGGATAGTCGAAGAAAGATGCTCTTTCTCACTCTCTCTCACTCATTCTTCTTCTCTTTGGTGGGGGTGGGTATACTAGAATCTACTAGAGAGTTTGCCGGGGTGCTCTTCTCGTTATACCGACTCAAATGTTGATCGGAGCAAAGAGAGCGAAAGAGAGCGAAAGAGAGAGAGAGAGAGAGAGTGTGTGTGTGTGTGAGAGAGAGAGAGAGAGAGAGAGAGAGAGAGAGAGAGAGGGTCGAAAAGAGAAGAGAAGAGAAGAGAGACCGGCAGATGGTCGGCGTGGACCCCGACGTGGGAAGCTCCGAATTCTCCGAGTTCCCACAGCCAGAATGCACCTGCCCTACCCCCACTCTAACACCCCGTCCTGCCGGGACGGCTTATATAAGGGCCGGGGTTGCTCGTCTAAGGCATCATTCGCTCACTAGCGCTTCGCTGAAAAGCATCTGAAAAACGTATAAAAAGCAGCGTATAAGCGAGATAGATATATTATCATATCGATCACGCCGTTCACGTTATCGAGAGGCACTCATATACATATTGCATACAAATATATCTATATATATATATATATGTATATACGTACATATGTATATATATATGCACATATATAGACATATACATTTGTATCGACTTTAATCGTATAAGTCGGTCGTAGTCGTCTTCTTCTCGCGTTCCGACCAGAGAGTTTGCACGGAAAACCGGTTCAGTGCGCGGGTTCCGTGGTGGAAGAAGAAGAAAAAGAAGAAGAAGAACAAGAAGACCGACGAGTGAAAAGGAACGACAAGAGAGAGAACAACAAGAAGAGAAAAAGATGGCTGCCACCACTATGAGCCACGTGTTCGAATACGAGAACGAGTTGAACGATAACTTATACAATCTTAAGATGTCGGGCAACAACAAGGCCAACAGCAACGGGACCAAAAGCATGAGGAGGATGTTGAAACCTCTGTTACGTTTGCTCAAAAAGAAAACGGGCAAGGGCAAATACGGTAAGGGCCAAAAAGCCATGCCGCAATCAGAGATCTTCACCGAGGAGGTCGACAATCAGAACAACGCGAACGAGGCATTGGAAAGAAGATTATTGGCCGAACTCCAAGATGCTGAGGAGGGTGCAGCCATCACCGTTTGTCTTGACGGTCAAATGACAGTCGTGCCGGTTGTTCCTGGTCAGTGTTACGTCCCTGTACACTTTGCTCACACCCACGCTGGTGACTTTTATTGGACGACCCTCAGCCTCGCGGACAGTGATCTCTGCTACAAGGAACGAGCTTTCTCGCAATACCAAACACCGGAGATGCAAGTCGCGTGAAAGGAAGCCTGTCCGCATGTCATAATGCATTCCTTCGATCTCCATCATCATTATCATCATCATCATCATCATCATCATCATCATCATCCTGATGGTCCATCTCACTTGGACTCTATAACTTTAATTGAAGTCAAAGATATTGTTGTTGAGAGATCAACGCAATAGAAATAAATCGAGATCGCGCCTCGGCCTATAAATAAGAAACTTTAAGATAAGATACATCGAAACTGTGATCCATAGTTTAAATAGATAGAGAAATAGATTTTAATTTATATGAAGACATACGGCAAGACTTTTCCATTGTGTATTCCTAGAGATACGTTAATACGATAAGTCTGACTCGAGATTAAGAGGGTTGGACGATTCAAGAGATTCTAGTAGTGTTCTATATACATATTGTATATTATTTTTTTTCTCCTTTATTTTTATTTTTTTTTTTTTTTTTTTTTCTTTTATCTCGCGATCATATCGATCGCAATTGTGATAATCTCTGTACCTATTCAGAATA